CGTCGAGTACAGTAAGTTTACGATAGGACGTTTGCATTATGACGTAACTTTACTACAACTACCAGAGAGCCTTGCGCATTTTCATTGTTGTTCAGATTTTTAATCCACTTGGAGATTAATAAAACAATTGGCACTAATTGCATTACAAAAGAAAGTTGGCAAAGCATTCTGGTAGTTGTAGTAAATGATGCCATAATGCATATCGCCTGTTAGAGTTGATAGCAACTAGACTCATAATGTACACTCCGTAATTAACAGCTCACGTTGACAAAGTTTTTTTAAGTCTATATTGAATTAGAGTCCTGAATGTACTTCTATTCAGTGTGCAAAATGTCTTTATCTAACGGTTAAAATTGTGCCAACCTTAATAACCTTATATCATGCAGTGTACAATACAAATAAAGTTTGTCATACATTACTGAGTGATATATATTATCACCGACGGTGGCGCTTATCACCCCTTCCTGGACAGTAAAAACCAGTTCGAAGTCACTCATTTTACATTGTTAAATGGTGTATATTCCTTCTATTCCTGAAACATGCATTAAGCGTAAGAGTCTTCTGGTWTGGTTTAACTACTCAAAATGCACATAAGCATGAACACACAATCTTCCATGATTGTCTTCTTCCTTGGAGTTAAAGAAATCCTCGATATTCCAAACCTTGAACTTCTGTCCCGCGACCACTTCAAGCGGCGGTTCAAATCCCGGCAGAATTAATTCGGGATCATTTGCCAAAACGCCTGGTAGATTGTAAAAGCGATACTCYCTCACGTAAGATTTTGGAGGAGTAAGCATTTTGTCATCATCGTTTGTAATGGTAATTTCAATTTCGTTATTACGAGTTCCCCAATGACTGACACCAGACCCAGCCCAAGCGCCAATTCCTCCAGAGATGTGGACGAGCCTGAAGAACTTCACCTTTCCCGAAATGGAAGTTTCAAAGATTCCAAATTGTCCGCTCTTTCCAGACAAGCAAATTTCATTCTGAAATTCTGAAGCAAATAAAATATCTCTATGTAAATGCAAACAAACCAGATATACTTTTTGGTCGGGCTACAGTACACTGATTAAAGAAGTAGCTTTTCGTGGATTAAAAAAAATATAATAATGCTATTCAGTTGTATCTAGTAAATCGTGCATGCGGTACACAAATTAAACTGAATTGATACAAATAAAGCATTCAATACCGTCTTGCTTCAGGTCCACTTTTAGTACAAATTAGAACTACTTAGATTTTGTACAGTTGCACGGATTAAGTGCGTTCAGTCTAAGTATGATCACTCTAATTCTTCGTCGTCAATTGCAAAATAATACAAAAAACGTTATGTGAACGCTTAGATGTGGGCGAGACCATTTCTGAAAATAAAGTTATCTGTTTTGTCTGTCTGTCACATGCACACCAACCATCTGACCTGACAATTAAACAGATGAGTATATAATACTTACTGCATTCGCTGCCAATGTCACTTGAAATGCACTTGCATTTGTATTGGATTTCGTCTAGTGAACTGCAAACATTTCCATTTGCACAGGGATTACTTTTACAAGCATNCCGTCTTGCTTCAGGTCCACTTTTAGTACAAATTAGAACTACTTAGATTTTGTACAGTTGCACGGATTAAGTGCGTTCAGTCTAAGTATGATCACTCTAATTCTTCGTCGTCAATTGCAAAATAATACAAAAAACGTTATGTGAACGCTTAGATGTGGRCGAGACCATTTCTGAAAATAAAGTTATCTGTTTTGTCTGTCTGTCACATGCACACCAACCATCTGACCTGACAATTAAACAGATGAGTATATAATACTTACTGCATTCGCTGCCAATGTCACTTGAAATGCACTTGCATTTGTATTGGATTTCGTCTAGTGAACTGCAAACATTTCCATTTGCACAGGGATTACTTTTACAAGCATTCTGTTCATAATATATACAGAAACCTTTAGTGTATTGAAAAACACTTTGTGAGAGACGTGCGAGTTTACATTGGTGGTTGTCTAGGTATTGCATGGAGACAAATTATTTTGTTTTTATTACCCTGCTGGAGGATTTAAAACAAAAGAGTTTGGTCAGTTCTATTACCCGAGGGCGCCCTATCCATGTAAACAGGGCCTTAATCATTTTTCAGCACTATCGCAAAAATGAAAAACAATTTTATGCGAATGTGAAAATTCATGATTGAATTGATCTATCATATGGTTAATACCACAAAAACTTGTCAAGTTCAGTTTATGAGTTTAAGCTAAATGCTTATCATGCAAGCCGGCTATACATCAATACTCGAAAACCTAGTCTAGTAATACTAATTTCTTTTCAAAAAGCCGATAGTATAGATACATTTTTCTGTTATTAATTTTTACTTGTTAGTATATAGGACCATATGTTTTTTTTTTACCTTTATGGTGTAATGATTGTGCACGTTACTAATTTTCAAAGGAAGTCTGTACTTTGTAGTAGAGAAAAGTTCGCAGTCAAAAAGATCCGCCTTGAGTTTTCCGATGGCAAAGTTGAATGACCAACAACCATGGTATTCAAGGCATTTCCAACAGCACTCAAAGACATCGCGGACAGTGAAAACAGCCAGGGAATTCGTTGAAAGCTTCTTGTAGCGGTCTGTTTCAAATAGCACGGAAGATTTCCTGTCACTTCTTACAAATTCCTGAGCTGTAGATTGGTAGCATACCAGAACATAAATAATGAAGAACGAAATCACCGACTGAGATAAACTTTGCATCTCGTCYTGCTAGTTCGTTTCGTTWCACAATTGCGTCAATTCTAAATCTCTTTAATGTAAGGTATGGCTTTTTTCTAGTTTTTTTGGTTAAAAAATAAAATAAATTATTAATAATGCATTTACATAGGTGGTAAAAAAACAAGGTTAAATGTATTAATACCCCATGGCAAGAAAATTACTCCAACGAATACAATACACTATTATATTAACTTTAGATCAATCAATTGATATCCAACGCTGAAAGTAAATAAAGTGCGTTGCTGACTGATCCATTCAAATCGGTTTATAAAGCCATTTCCAATTCACTTGGTTTTCTTTGTTATTCATAGGGTTGTATATACCATAGAAACTGCTTAAAACCGGGGAGGGATTTGATATCTTCTGGAAGARTTTGACTTTTTGGCAGACTTTGTCATCGTCAATATCAAAGTTCGGCAAAGGAATGCTGTCAAACGTATTTTGAGCTATAAACAAATCGTCGAYATCGTTTCCAACTGTTAAGAATATTTGATAACAATATCAAAAATTAAAATTTCAATTGCTCGCTTTCGCATGAACAGGTTTTCTTAAAGGAAACTAATTTCAACAGTCCATGAAAAGAATGAAAAGGTCTCAAGAGGAGAAGATTTTCGATTCCCAACTAAGAAAACATTCATTTAGTCTATTCAGTATTCAGTTTTTGCGAAAACCACGTGAATTGAAAACGGCCCTCGGGCTGTATATAGTGTTATGACTCTGTTCTCGSTAAYTAACTCTTACTTATTATTATAACTTAATTCTGATAAACTTATCTTTATAAAGGAAATATAGTTGAAACACTGCAGAAAAGCTAAAAAGCAATACTAATACAGTCGAGCAATGATTGAACGGATAGGCCTTTCATGATTTCATTGCATGCAGCTTGTTAATATAAACAACATCGATGTCTTGCAAACAAATTTGTCATATAAAATTATAAAAAAATAACTTTAGAAACTTATTCCCATTGAATTTGAGCGACTTTTCAAATCAAGCCGATGACCGACGAGTAGCATGCGGCGCCGTTTCAGGAAGAGACAACGGGGTCTGTTCTTCTAAATAACTGTTCTTGTACGACTTTTTTTCCTCTGGGAAAGGGATCATTTGAGCTACATTGTTAATAATCTCACAAGAAAATGTGTCGCCCTTCCTTCTTTAATTTTGTTCCTGGAAAACGTTTTTAAGGTCAAAAAAGCCTTATATAACGTTTTTATGGTCAAAAACGGCTTATATTGCTTTTAGTTAGGAAGTTTTTATTTTCCTGGCAAAAATTCGTAGAAAGCATGGCCTTGCCTGGAGAGTTTTTTTTTCCTGAATTTCTCGCTGGCAACCAGTTGTCACTTACAGCTGGCTGGGACATAAGAACAGATATATTTCTCCCAGGAACCCGTCGGCTTCTCCTGGCGTTTCTTTATTTCAAGCAGTTTGATAGAAAATAATTAAAAAGCAATCTTCTAGTTTACTATTTTTTGGGGGGTAAGGAACCTGGTAGGGATGTTTAAGGCAGCACAATTCTTAGAGTAGATAATTACACCGAGGATACGGGACATGGTCAGTGAGATCCATGGGAGGCTCGGACGTGCATTCTACAATACATGAACACTATCCCGTGTTGGGTTTCTCTATACGACACTATACGCGGCTTTAGCGTAGCCCCAACCCCTCCCCTTCCGTTTYCCCCCTCCCCCTCCCCTCCCCTTAAGCCGCCACGCAGGCTAGCGTTTTTCGAGCGTAACGACAAATATTTCTGACAGTGTTTTATACGGTCTGGCTTACGAGCTCCCTGTGTACCTTGCAGCGTGACTATTTTCCTGCCGACCGGCGGCGCCCATCTGCAGCACCTGAATCATTACTTAATCCAAGATGGCGACCGTATTATTGTAATTCTCAAATTCAATTTACGCTCACTCTTTTCTATCAACCCCACGCCATATATATCTGTTCTTATGTCCCAGCCAGCTGTAAGTCACAACTGTTTGCCAGCGAGAAATTCAGGAAAAAAGAACTCTACAGGCAAGGAATACCTTCTATGAATTTTTGCCAAGAAAATAAAAATTTACTTATAATAAACACTAATTAATTAATTGCATTGTTTTCTTTTTGGGTCTATTTGACTTTCACACTCTATAGTCAAAATATTTTATTTCACAGCAGATTAAAATGACTCTTTAATACAATTTTGTCTCAAGGGGCGGATCCAGGGGAGGTGCTTTGGGTGCGGACGCACCCCCCCTTTTCTTGGACGACTTCATTTTTTTGCATCATCAACAGTTGTTGTCAGTTTATAACTCAAAATATCTTATGAACCAGCCTAGCTTTCTTTTGGAAAGAATATATTTTAGGTTTTGAAAGCAACAAAAAATTAATGGTGATTATGCAAAGTGTGCAACATAAATATCACTAAATACTGCTAAATYATGCTAATTCTATATATATAATTGCTTTTTATTGTTCAGTCTTWTGGCAGTAAAATAGTGCAAAGTGCAGCACACAGTGTTTGTACTCTATACAAGTTAAACTAAATTAGAGTGCACGCCAAAAAGCATGAAACAATTCTTAACTATCAACATCTAATAAAATTTAGTTATCAACTAAGAATTCACTGGGGCATAAACACAATACCAGAAAGGAAACTTGTCTTTGTTTATGCCTCACTAAATTCTTAGCTAGTTGATAACTAAATCTTATTATGCGCTAATTACTTAAGAATTGTTTCATGCTTATGTAGCGTGCACTCTTGTAATAATTGTGAAACACTGAATAATTTTTTTCAAATCATTTTTATTACTACCTTTTTTTTACATTTTTCTCATGATCTTTATTTAATTTTTTTGTTATTTTCAAATCATTTTTATATTTTTATATTTTTTTTTGTAATACAGCATCTTGATATCCTTCCACGACAGAGATGTAAAGCTGAAAGAAAACAGTTCATCATCAGCATGATTTGTTTTGATTTCATTTGCTTTGACTTTCTTGTTTGAAAAGATGAAAATAAAATGCTCTTAATTTCTTATATCGAAAATAGCAAATTAAGGTGTTTCGATTGTAATAAATAGTGTTTCGCGCGTATTTTTAAACTCCAACTACATCGCAAATTTCGATTCAATTGCACTCAAACTTTCACAGAAGTAACAGTGATTATCGATAATTCTTGTTGATAAATTAATATGCCAAAAAGCGAAGCCGTTTGAATAAACGATGCAAAATAAAAACACCTTCATGATTTTTCTTCAAAATTAATTTTCTCGAAACTCATCGCAGAGATTGTAATAAAATTTTCAGAATTATTTCTTAATAACATAATTGATATACTGACGAAGTTTCACTAAAATCTTAACCTAAAATTTCGATTTGTTCGAATGTACATCATTTTGCCCAAACAACTCGAAATTTTAGGTTTAATTAAGATTTAACACCTTAACATCAATAATCAGTACTACAAATTGTCCTAATTCTTGCATCACAGACATGAATTGGACTTTATATTTATAAAAAGAACATTACATGGATGTTTGGAAATATTATAAAACTTATTAATAATGCATAAGCTATTGCTCCAATAAGGGCTGACCAATTAATCAGGTGATTGACCTTGTAAATCTGATACAACCACTAGTGTTGTATCAGATTTACAACACGGTCGTCACCATTGAGACAACCCAACACTAGCAAAGATCTCAGTTTTAGTGTCGCATCATAGACCTTCACTAGGTTTTGAAGCAATCAAAGACGGATAACAGAACTCGCTTATGCAACAGATGGCTTGCTTTCCATGTGGGATGGATAATTATTCAAAATGTTCTGTGTTGAAGTAAATTGCGCATGCTTAAATAGGGACTAAACTCAGCAGTTACCTTATTTGTCATTTTTCGTCATTTATCTCACTGTAATTCATGTTAATTTGTGTTGGAGTTTTATAAGTAGTTTACAACATGAGCGGCCGTGTTGTATGGGAATTACAATCTCGAGCCGCAGGCGAGAGATTGTAATTCCCATACAACACGGACGCGAATAAGGTTACAACTTTAATTCAATATGAACCAGATTATCAGTAATTAATAAAAAGTGGTTTTCATTGTCCTGTGAAACACACTTTAGCATGCTATTGCACACTCTTTCTTTCTCCTTATTGCGCACATTTTTCTTTTATTATTTCATGACTATTACACTTTGTATTACAGGAAAAAGAAAAACACTACCAACTAAACAAATAAAGTACTAACACTCAARAACAGTCATTTGCAAAAATTCTGACCACTGACATTTTTTATCATGATGGGCAAAATAGTTACTTACTAGTTATTTCAACCATAATGTGCGAGTTTTATGACAAATCAAAGCCGTACATGTATGAAATTTTAATCAAATAATCCATAAATTGATRTATTTCTTATATAAGTTAGCAGCCAGGACTTCTTCAATTAACTGTAAGTGTACCCAGTATATAAATTCATTGACTACTTACCTGTGTGGATTATAGATGCTGCTTTATGGACCACCATTAGTTAGTGGCCTCCCTAGGGCGACCTTACTTTATGCCTAGCCTTATTGATCCTATAAAGTCTATATTAATTGATTCAATAATCTGTAAACAAATGTAAAATAGAAAAAGTCGAATAAATAAGGGCAGATTTCATAAAAATAAAAAATATATATATAAAAAATTCGAGTTTCATTCTCGTCAATTAAGAGATTACCAAAGGATCTTCTACTGATCTACTTTGATGTGCTGTGCAAAAGTTATAGGATCAAGGCTAGGCACAAACTAACGCCACCCTTAATGCTTGTTGGGTTTCTTCTTTGCTTTCAGCTTTGGCAATTTTTTCTTGCCGTTTTCTGTAATTAAGGTAACATGACCACCAGTTAAGCCTTTGCGAGACCTGACAGTGAAGAAATTGTTTTCATCCATTTCTATGGAGTCTAATGATGTACAGGATCCAGTTGCCTGGGCTGCTTTATCATTATCAATCATTGCTGTAATACCAGATCCAAAGGCTTGGTCAACAAACTTTGAGAACTCTTCTACATTTTCAATCCTRTCTGTTGGTTCTTCAATACACATTCTTCTGCTCAGAAAATCTGTTTCTAGACTCTCAGTCTTACGGATATTATGAATAGATGAAGAATCAGCTGTCAATAAAGGAGTTGGAAGACTTGACGAACTCGRCTTGATAGGAGGCAAAACGTCCTTCTTGGAAATGCATGGGCTCACATTGAAGCTTTCCATAACTGAGCTGATCTGAACTGAGTTATCTGGAGGAGGACTGTGTKTTTTKTTCTTTCTCTGGACAGTTAGGCCTGGTATTGATATATCAGGACTGGAGCAATAACTCTTCCAGTCAGACTGGCTACCATCAAACTTGATAGGTGATCCCCTAGGGCTTGAARCACAGCTTTCYCATTCATCACTGTAATGATATGCCATGTCTGGGCTACCATTGTTRGYGAGTGGAGGGGTCCAACTCCTTCTACTTTGAGAAACAAAATCAGGTGAATARCAGCTGTTAGTATGGTCCAATAATGCGCTGCCYTTGCCTKKTGCAACAGACATCCTGCCACTAAAAGTTGGGCTTTCTGGTGGACTTATTTTCTCTAGTAAGGCTATACTAGACATCTTCGGGTGCAATGCATCACTACTTGGCAAAAATGAAGGCTGCAGTTCCACTGATAATGGAGTGGCATTCCTCTCATCAGTTGTGGAAATTAAGTCACRAGGTGAAAGTCTTCCRTTGCCAYTGCCAACTGAAATAGATCGTCGGGGACTTGACGCAGGAGAGGGCCTCTTAATTGTTGGTGGACTGGGTATTTTCATACCATCCTGGAGCATATCATCAAAGCTTATACCTCCATAACTGTTAGGACTTGCAGGAGAAGCTTTGACTTCATTTAGAGATGACAAACTACTATAGTAGTGCTCCTCACTAACAGGGATCTTTATGATAACAGTAGCACTTGCAGGTGGACTTACACCCTTTGCAGAAGAACCTTCACTTCTACATTGTCCACTAGGTGAAGGAGATTTCTTGTCAATAGACAAAGAACAATATGTTTCACTGTTCCTCTTGTCTAATGATTTTGGTGAGGATGGTGAGGATGTATGTTCCCAAGACAGAGTGGTATATTCTGCGGCATTATCCTGTACTTCATTGTGTGAAGTGGAAGATCTACAGTCCTTATTTCCCACTTCAACTCCAATTGTGCTGTTTGCACACAGTGACATTGAAGATTCTCTTTGGATGGGAGGAGGAGAAGGAGTCACATACACTCTCCTAGCTGGGCTACCACTTGGAGAACCTCTTTTTGGAGTTGTTGGCGGTGTAGGTGTTCGGTTGCAACTTGTGACAGGTATCCTGCTACGAGGTGACATAAGTGTTCTCCCACTTGGAGATGGAGAACCTATTTTTGGAGTTGTTGGTGGTGTAGGTGATCTTCCGCAACTTGTTGTGACAGGTATCCTACTCCTAGGTGACATATGTGTGCTACCACTTGTAGAAGGATAACCTCTCTTTGGAGTTGAAGGTGGCGTAGGGGAATGACCTTTCTTATATGTGACAGCACCAGGTATCCTTTTACCCCTACATAAAAGAGGTGATGACATACTTTCACTCCTGGGTAACGAACTAGGAGATCTGTTATAACAGAATCCATCTGGTAAGTTACAGCCTTGTCTGTATAGCCCTGGAGATGGAGGCAAAGGAGGGCTGGGAGACTGACTGTAGGTTGGTGTCATTGGTCTCCAAACACTTATACCAGATGGACCTGGAACTGGAGATGTTTTCATCCAAGCTGATGGAGAAGCTCTACTAGTGCTCTGGTAACCTGTGTCAGATGGTTCACAATCTTCAAATTCATCCAATGAAGAGCCTGACATGTTAGGGTCCATTGGAGAAGTAGCTTTGTCACATACKGTAGGGGACATCAATGTACTGCCTTTTGCCACAGGTATCTTACTGCCTGGAAATGATTGTGATCTTGTCTTGTTATCAGAAGGAGGTGATGCCACACCTTCCTTGTACACAAAAACAGGAATCTTACTGCCTGGAGTAGTACATCGCTGACTTTTCTTTAAAGAAGASGAACTTCCACCTACATTGCTCAGACTAGCAGCAATCTCTCCATATGCAGGATCCTATACCAATACCAAAATAGTATTTTTAAACAACAAAATACTATTTTGATAATTATTAATCCACAATGTTTAGTTGCAGTGCTATACTGTTTTTATCTTGTTCCTTGGTCTCTTTGATTAACTTCTCTCGCACAATATATTAAATGATGCACATCATTTTACTAAAGCACTGCTTCATGGAAGTTTGTTATAATTATAGTCTCCTACTGAGAATTAATGACAATTGATATCTATAAATAACTGCAACTATTTTTGATCAATTACAAATATTAATTATATTTCATGGTTCAAGAAAAAGTAATAACAATACACCAACATAATTAAACAAAAACTATCAACACTAATTAATACTATGAATATTTTTAAGTTTTTTTCCATAATGTACATATTAAGCAGTGTTTAAATTCACAATCAACCTAGCATTAATTTAGAAATTATTACTCTTTTTTATACATACCTGAGTTTGTGAGTACAGTGTACTAAACACTGCTTGTGTGAGGCCAACATCCGAAGAACCCGCTGATGACTAAATTATAATATAAAAAAAATCAATGAACTAGGAAAAAACATTACGGTATATCGGTACACTTTCTGAAAAGACTTAAATGACCATATAGTTAATTCCATGAAAACATTGTTCAGTTTTGAGGGAAGACATAAAGACAACAACAAAGTCATTTTCATATTTTTTGCAAAACTATTCAAGGTAAAGTTCCAAAACTTCTTTACMAAATCAATAACATTTAATTCACTATAGAAAGTTTTGAATTAAAATTCTTCCTGGGAATTTTAAAAACCTTTTGATGCATCCAATTTTTTGTTTCTATGTCTTGAACATGTTTATAATGGGATTGACCTATATTATCGGAACTAGAATGAGATTAAGTTCAAATGATGTAATTTTTGTCCTTCTTTGTACTTCATACATTAATACTGAACTTATTATTATAAAATTGTAACGTTACGGCACCTTTATGGCTATATACGTACAATTTGGCAAGCATTAGAATGCTATCTGTCATCATTACTGACAGATACTGAGATACATTAAGGTACATTTAGTCTCCTGTAACTTTAAGTGTATTTTATTAGAAGAAACAATAATAACTACTCACCGAGCTATCCTTGTGTCCAAGGTCACCTCCTGTGAATTATCGGTGTTGTTAGCAATAATTACGCAATAATTCACATGTGGCTTATTAAATGGAATGGTAKAAGTCTTTAAATAATCACTCCCAACTTAGGAGAATGATATTCATGTGATTCATTGCCAAGATATATAGTTACCATCACTCATGATGTTYAATATTCAAAATAATATAAATTACATACCTTGCAAGGATGCATCGGATGATGAGTTTTTCCCCAATGTTGATGCCTGAGTGTTTSCTTCATTGGCATGTCCTGACTGTGTTTTAGGWGGTGATGGCATAGRAATGGTAAATTCCTTACTTTTACCATAAGCGCTGGGTTTATTCCTCCAACTATAACAATGTGAAAGAACTGCATTAGATAGTATAAATGCAAGGTGTCTTTTTATATTATTTCCTAACTACTATAAAGTATGTAAGAAGATACCTCTGGGACAACAAGAATGGGAGAGATATAGGATAACAGGAAGGGAAAGAGAACAGCAAAACAGGAAGTAAATGACAATAAAATGACAAAATGGGAAGGAGAACAGGACAACAGTGCAGGACAATTAAAAGGAAGGGGTATGAATACAGGAAATCAAGAAGGGATGGAACATAGGATAAAAGAAATGGAAGGACTACAGGATACCAGGAAGGGAATGGAAGGAGGACAGCAAGACAAAAAGGAAAGGAAAACACAATCTAACAAGAAGGGAACAGGATAAAAAAATAGAACAGGATGGAAAGGAAAACAGGATGACAAGGGAAGGTGAACTGGATAACAGGAAGGGAGGGTGAAAAGGAATAGGAGGGAAGGGAAGGAATATAGGATAGCAGTAAGGGAAGGGATATTTGATAATTGTTTTAACAGGAATATTGGATAGCAGCAAGGAAAGGGATATTTGATAATTGGTTTAATAGGAATATAGGATAGCAGCAAGGAAAGGGATATTTGATAATTGGTTTAATAGAAATATTGTATAGTAGTATGTAAACATTACAATATTAACTTAAGCTTCTATGGATAAGCTTAGATCGCTTTTCAATTGTTTGTGCAGCGCTCAATCGCAAGACGAGTTTGTAAACGAGTACTTTTAAACAACCAGTTTTGTACTTCTCAGGCGCCACAAACTTCTGCTATTCTTTTTGGAATTCAACTTGAAAAAGTGTACGTTTAAAAGCAAAACACTTACTGGGACCAGGCTCCGCCATCATTATCGGAAGAACTGCTTGAGGTGACTTGGAGAGAAGAAGAAGYTGTTCTTGTTTGGCTTACCTTAGAATGCAGAAAAAACTATTATTAGCGAAGCAAGGAAACATGTATAAACTTGAAAGAATTACTAAAAATGAAATATAWATCTTCTACACCTAGAAAATGYTGTGAAAAAGTGTTTTCTCGCTTTTCGCGCCACAACTAACTCTTCTTGACAGGAGGCTGGGCTGCTAAGTGTCGCACCAGTCTCCACACGTTCTAAAATTAATTCCAAATCGAAAAGCGCTGTAAGCTTAGAAAATTGCTTTATAAAAAAAATTGTATATAAAATTGTGTATAAAATTGCAAAAGATCRATATGCTGGAAGTAAGATAATGTCTAGTTTTGCGTGTGACTATCCTTTGCGCTCTAAGATGTGAAGCCGGTTTCCCATTCTTTGAGTTTGTCAAGTCGATCACGTGCAAAGACCTTGTTCTACTCCCGGGTTCTACTCTCTCCATGCTCAGATTCTTTGTAGTTATGGCTCTACTGTTCTGCCTTATAAGTGCCCTTATTTTGCTCTAACCCAGTGTGAGATTTATAGAATTTTGCCTGGCCCGTGTGCCATTATTTTACACTTTGACCCCATTTGTATTCAAAATTGTAGCTCGTTTATGGCGACTCTGCTTATAAATAATCTAACTCCCAGTTTACCTTCTCTGCATTATCCTCATTTTTGTCTTTATCTTTGTTGGCTGAATTTTTGGTTGCGTTTGCAACAGCTGAAAAACCAAAATGAGAGCAAAAAAAGTTTTCTTAACCATTGAATTTATTCCTGATCTGGTTTCTTTGTGCAAGTTATTGTACCTTGTTTGTCCTTAGAAAAACATGAAGCTGCACAACCCATGTTTTAAAAACTTTGCTTTGGAAAAGCTCGCTTTGAATAACTTTTGTACAAAATCAACATCTTGTCTCGTAATGAGATTATGTCAAAATGATAATTACTAATTAGCGCGTGTTGCTATTTATAGCCAAGGATGACGTCATAGAGTTGAATTGTCCTAATTAATATTCTAGAAAGTTCCAGTGCGGTRCTTCAAGTGAACATCCAGAATTCCTTACAAGTTCGTCACTTGGCAACTGCTAATCGCCATAGCAGCCATTAAAGTAGTTGAGCTGATTTTTACTCAAATCTCATAACAAGCTCAAAATAATATTTTGCAGTACATAGAAATGATTAAAGTTGTAAAAGGTGTTCTCGTGCTGGACTCGACATCCATGATAATAACAAGTTAGGAATATTTTACTTTAATCATGCTCCTTTCAAGAGGGTTCCCCTCAGCTCTCAAGTTTCCAACACAGGGATTCCACGTCAATGGCTGAAACACATTATGCATTGATTGACATAGTCGCAGAGAAGAATGAATTACTTCTAAGTCCATAATATTTAACAAATGTGTATATTCCGTCGAAATATCCATTAAATGTTCAGCTGATTGGGAGAGATCAGTGTCACTTTTAACTCATAAAATCTTAAAGTAGATTACTAGAACGAGTAGAAAACAACTGTGATCAGCTCAATCACTTAACATAAAAAGATTTGTTTGTTTGAAAGATTGTTACTAGGTATAATTTGTCAAGCTCCATTATTTATTTTGCAAGTTTTCCAATAAGCATGATCCATGTGTGTTTGTGGATACTGGCTGTGAAATAAAGCTTGYTTCTTTGTAGACAAATATTGTTTGTATTGTTATCTAGAATTTAATGTGTAGAGCTGATGATGAGGGACTAGACACAGAACACTGCAAGTAGTAATCATAGGTGTGACCAAACTTTCCCTCCCACGTGAAAAGGTGTAGTTTGTGATGTCAGCCTCCCCTGATCGGAAAAAATATATCATGCGGAAATAGTATCTATTTTAAGCTCTTTATTCCTTATTCAGGAAAATTTATGCGGGCATGTACATGTCCTGTGTAAATTGAAACTATTTTTGTATCTTGTAAATATCACGCGATTCAGTCGTGGGAARGGCTGAGAGTATTTATTACTATAGTCCAAAGCCCTGAACTTATAGCTCACCCAAATGAAAATTWAAAWAATACATCTTGATTAATGGGTGATATTCATCGAGACAGTGCAACCTGTTTTGTTGAGCTATCACTTACCGAGGACATAGCATGAATAAACATGAATCCTTTTTCAGTATACCAAACACATTTTAACAGTACACTACTGTACACGATCAAACAAGAAGGATAATGCAACCACATCCAACCAGCTATGGTTTGAATACGTTTTTCGTCTACAAAATAATACTTGACTGAAGACTGGATTGGAAAACACTGCTAATAGTGTATATTTACACTGTAAAAGGTAACTATAAACACAGACTACATGGTCTAACGACTGCACTTAAAGCTGTTGAAAAACAAAGCATGAAGCAAGCAAGTAATAGTCGTTGAATATCCTCGATCCTAATTGAAATAGCGGACATTTTAACTAAATGAATTGTGCTTATTCCAGGGGTGAGACTTGAAATTAGCTGTTTGAAAATAGATGCGCCAGTTCAGATAATAGACTAATTATTTCCCCTCGGCCGCAGACCAGTATCAGTAACACGCCAACTCACCTCACGGCTAACACGTACAACGCCAACACTAGCGATTTTTTGATAAGTTACTTGTTCTAATTTCCATCTGATTTGATTTGCRGATCTTGCTTGAATACGTTGAGAACAACTAGGTATTGTAAGTTAATGCTTTAATTCAATGAAGCCGTAATYATAATACATAAAAGGCACCATTAGAAATTTTCCTTTTTAAACCTTACAAAATATTCATGCGCTATGCATTTTTCAGGGAGTTTCTTCAAATGCAATATTACGAAAATACGAGAAACACAAATAAATGAAAAGAGCATTATGAAATAAAGAATCGGCATCATTCCARGCGCTCTCTTTTGATGAAATGTTTGTTTGAATTGATGAAGACATAACACGTTGGTTCAGAGTTTTCGTGAAGCTCTCAACCCCAGTCAAGACTGATCACGGACTGATAGATGACTGCAAACGTGCTTGAAAACTTCTCATCCTATTTTCTAAATATCCGGTAATGACATCGACACTTAATAGCTTGGCACAAGCACAAGTCTGAACTTGGGAAAGTTTTATCTGAAAATCAGCGATGTATCATWTTTACAATGCCTTGACAACTGAAATCGGCTGTCGTTTGACATGTTTCAGTAATCAACTGAAATTGTWCAAAGTTATTTTTCGATTAAATCAAGTCAACTTTTACCAGCTGTATCCTTTATGGACATCTATGTCATACACGGCTTTATTAATGGTTCAGTTTGTCAGCTATGTCCTCTWTCTTCGACAGTTTTATCCGATTTTTGATGAAACAAATCATGCTTGCGCAGAATTAGATAAATTGAGAGTTTTGTATACTAAATTCATTTTGTTTAAATTCTTTTGATTAACGAACTTCGACGATAAAATACCTGCTAATGAGTCCGTTGGGGCAGATAAAAAAGTAAAGTGAGTAGAAAATAAGTTTTAGAATACTTAGTGTACTTGCKGAGTTGCCTCTGGCAGCTCTAGCAACTCTGACTGCTCAATATCGTTCACAACTTATTGCACTTCGCGAGTTGTTTTGAAACACTAATCAACCGTTTTCTGTTTGAAATACGAMACTGAACGTTTTTGGAAGTATTGCTGTACAAGAGCGCTGGAAAATCGAGAAGGATATTGTTTTTTTATGGGTRATTTTTGTATGACATTTTAAAAGAAAAATGCGCTCGCTCTTTGGCACGCGTTTCATACTCGGATGGCCATAATAAACAGCATTCATGTTCAAATTAGTCACTGTTTTGCAAAAAACGGTATACACTCAAATAATATAGATGTAAAATCTAATGGTATACGTTTGGAAACGTTTATGACAGAAAAAATACCGAAATTCTTGCAACGTTAAAATATAGAAGACACTTGCACAAAAGTTGCAGAGTGCTTGACAAGGAATCCAACGCAAAACCTTTTTTCCCCTAATGAAAATAATGTCGTATATTTTCAGAATCTTTTTTAATTCAGGTCTATAGTAAATTCGAAATAATTAAGCTTAAGGAGAGAGAAAACAAAATTCAGGAATTAATATGATRAACAACTTCTCGGCAAACGAGTAAAATCGAATCAATTAATAATGAAAGAAATAATTAACAAATCGGTCACTTCAAACCATGTCACACCRACGTCACGACGTTGTCGAGCTCGATTCGCGTGAAACGGCAGCCTATTCCGGATTTTGAATCAAAAGACTAATCTCGACTTGCTATCATTATATTGCTCTGCAAAAAGATGGCACACGAAGGAGATTGTACAATCACTAACAGAAACGCCGTGTTGGTTATTATACCCCAAATTTATTTTTGATAAAGGTAGACTACATGGAAGATTATCGCGCAATCGATATAACAGTAGCTGATAATTAATGGTAATAGATGTTTTTTTGATGATTATCTTTCTAGTGCCGGTTCATTCTAGTTTGATCACTGCCAACATCTTTATCAAAACAGTCGACCARCGTTTTTTGCGTATTGTCCGGTTCTTAAGTGTTCTAAACGGGTCGGGTTTTCATGTAAGAACGAGTGTGTGCTTATGATAATCAATGACGTACAGCTTTGATATATTTGTTGGTTCCGCTAATGGTAGTGTTGTCTATATGKTTTTTTCTTGAGAAGCGAAGACTTACCTTTAAGCTGATTTAATTAATTCGTTTTTTCCCTTTTAATTTTAGAACCAGCGACAGAGACTGATCTCACTTGATTGAACAACTTAATCCCTTTACAAAGAAAAAGTACTTCACTATAACAACTCCTAATATATGCTGTCATAAACAGTTTGTAACTATTGGTTCTGCTTGCAAGAGAATCATCACAACCTCTCTCTCAGAAGAGGGACTCTTACAGCCGACACCGAATGACTTTCTTACGGCTTCGTAGCATTTTAAGRTCATTCTATGTGATTTGTTCTTAGTTCGATTTGGACGAGCTTGTCAAACTGCTAGCACTGGCTACTTGTAAAATGTCAGAAAAAGTCGTACACTTTGAAAATTACGTTTCAACGTCAGACGAACAAGCCATAACAGGTGAATCCGGCGCTACGAATGAACCGTTCACTGAAAGTACTACTATATCCACAGAAAACCATCTTAGCTGCAATGACAACGAAGAGAAGTTAAAGGCTACCGACAAATGGAGGTCTGTAGGGCGACGAATTCAGTCGGCAATGTGCATAAAGAATACGGTCCAGCCAGTGCGTTCCAGGAGAAARTCAATCTGGAGAACCCCAACTGAAACGATTGATCCTTTTATACAGAAATTCAGTACAAGATCAGATAACCGTAAAACAACACCACCAAAGCGAACATCCAAGAAGATCTCACATAAAGTGTCCATTGAAAACAATTTGCAGACAATAGCGGAGTCTCAGTTCCAGCCAAACGACAGTGATATTCTAAGTGATGATGTAGATACAGGTTACAGAGGTGCATTACCATGCAGTATACGAACTGTGTTCGCTCCAGAGGGTTTGTTTATCTATTCGTGGTCATATTTTGTCGCTTTTTCTATTCGTTATAATTTATGGGTTCTTATAACGAGAATAGCATTTCCAAAGGCGCAATCTGAATTCAAAAACGTTTGGTTAGTTTTCGATTACATCTGTGATCTGATCTATTTTATAGACATGCTGATATCGTTTAGAACTGGATATCTCGACCAAGGAATCTTGGTAACAGAACCAGGAAAGATCGCAGCATCTTATATCAAATCAAAACGATTTTTAGCAGACATACTGTCTCTTTTCCCTACAGACTTTTTCCACGTATTTTATTCAGTAAATCTACCTCTTCTTCGCCTCAATAGACTTATCAAATCTTACAAAAGCCTTGGAATAAAAGATATAATGGAATCCCACACCAACTACCCTACGTTTTACCGCGTTTTCTTTCTGTTACATCTGATGTTTGTATTGATTAATTGGAATGCTGGCATATATTTCATGATATCGAGAGCTGAGGGATTTGGAACTAACCAATGGGTTTACGTGGGAAATGGTTCGYTATACCAGCAATATCTAAAGTCTCTTTACTGGTCKACGTTAACACTAACGGCAATTGGAGATCTCCCTTCACCCGCAACGAACTATGAGTAAGTATACTACCGATGTTTTCTTTTAGAACAGTATGTAAGAATAAACATTGTAAATACACAATAAATATGATATGAAAAACTTACKCAATTAAATAGAGCTTAAGAGATTTAGATTATAAAAAACACCGACAAAAATGACATGAATGACTGAATGCCACCATTCTGATAATGAGCATGAATGGAATAAGACATCAATAAACATTGAAAGGTTGAAAGGAAAAAAAACCCATATAATAAAGGAAGTACCGATAAAACTTAAAAAGAGATAATGTCATCATGTGATGCTTTTCCGTATCTACTTGACGTGATCCACTATTTTCACATACAAAAAAAGATCAGCTTCTGCAGATGTATGTTTTAATCTTGAGACTTTAGAATTTGGAATAATGGAAATAATATACAAACGGAAACGCTAATAGCGCATATATAAACGAAAACAAGAAARGTATACAACCAGTGTTGACTTTGAGTAGGAAATTTAGTGCTTGTAGTTTATTTGCCAGAAAAGGGAAGTCAAAGATGGAACAACACGCAGAAAACACCAATTAAGCGTTTGAATTAATTAACTTTGCAGTGAATCGCATAAGCGACTTCAAAACCTTAAAGTGCCAACAGCTATTTTGGGCTAAATTAAGAAGAGATTTGTCATTTTTTGTAATTGGTTTTTGTGATTAAGAAGACCGGTTGTATATTCAATATTTTGTRTTTCCCTTTCCAAGCCTTTGGCTGACGGAACAGAGAAACCAATATTTTGACTTTAAGTTGTAGCCAGTGAAAACGAGGAAGTAAACCAGAGAAGATAACCTAGTTTTTAATGGGATTGAAAGCTGAATTTATCGCCATCCGATCGATAAGCCTCGAAACTGACCAGTTGAACTATTGATTTACGTGATTTCTGATGGTCATGATTTGCATTTTTGTTYCAGTTTCGTGAAACCCAGCAACAAATCTGAATAAGGTTTCTAAATCTTAAGCAAAACACTGAACGCTTTAAGAGGATGTGCTCATTAAAAAGAGGAAACTACTCAATTTAATTATCAAAAATAGAAGAAAAAAACATTTGAAATATTCACAATGGTCATTAAAAGGTGAAAAATAGCGAGAAAATATGATTCTTACAAAGATTACAAGTAAATAAAATGTGTGATAATTAATCACTGATGCTCGTATGAAAATAAGTTTCTTAGAAATAAAGTCGAGGCGAACTTCATGCTGACCAGCCTTCTTGAGTGCTTTTCACAGAACGAGAAAAGCCGTTTTCGATAGTATATTTAACTAATTTTAGAATCAAATAGTAATACAATAATCTTTTCATGATATTGGCTAGTCTCGCAAGTACACGGCATAAACAGCCTCAAGCTTAAACATACACTGGAAAAAATAAKGCACTTTAAAAGGTTGYAWATTTGATGWAAATATTATGTAAGTGTCCAAAATGATGTAGATTTGATGTAAGGACAAGGAATGGGACAGCTATCATTTATGTTTACGTATCACTTTTGTGAGTTAAAAAGAGATATTATGGCAACATGCTGACATAACCCCATGGTTTTCTTTACGATTATGATTACGTTTATCACTGGGTGGAAATGGGTGGAAATGGGTTTAATTGCCCACTCCAGGACGTCTATGTTAGAAAGCTCACCAACACGTTCTACACTGACAGCAACATGTCAAACTCTATAATGTATGCAAGTATACTATTAAAACGTTTCAAAAATAGACAGGCAATAAAAAAACGAATAAAAGTATCATCAAAAACAAGACATAATGAAGAAATAATCGAAAATGTCATGATCAGCTTGCGCACTGAAGGATGATTTATGAGCGATGTTTGTGAATTCGTTAAACAAATTAAATTATTTCTTTATTCAATGTAAATATACGAGTGAAGTATCATCAAAACCATGACATAATGAAGAATAATCGAAAATGTTATCAGCTTGCGCAGTGAAGGATGATTTATGCCCAGCGTTATTTGTGAATTCGTTAAACAAATTTAATTATAATTTCTTTGTTCAATGGCAATTGTCCAAATCTGAAAAAAAAACTTGACACGGGACTGAATAGCATTTCTTTAAAACGTATTAAACAAAAGAGCTTACAAAATGGATTTAAATTAAAAGCGAAATTTAAACGAAATCTAGGAACTAGGAACCTGTTGAAAACCGACAAYAATAACAAAATCACATTTTTCAATTAAATAATCCATACCGAATAATCCTTTATATTAAAGCTAGTACGCGCTCTCTGATTGGTCAAATGTTATTGTTTATTTCATCGGTAAAAGCACGGATGCGAAAATGCTATAATATGAAAGCAATAAACAACACATTTTCGTGCGTTCCTGGTCAAATTTAAACCACTTCGTTCGGATATTGGGGAAACACTCAAAGGATGAAAATCTCTTGACTCCGGCTCGAGATTTTTTACACCTTTTTCGGGTTCTCCCATATCCCAAGTGGTTTATTTTATCAGGAACGCACGACAATGTTTATTGTTCAGTAGTTAGCTTATTTTCATAGTATAAATTTACTAGAAAAATTACAAAAAAAAAAAAAAAATAGAAAAATTACAATTCGATCTCAAAATAGTTTTGTTTTACTAGTAATTTTTGTTTTATTTGATTAGTTTTCTCACTATTAGTTCGCTTTACTTGCATTTGTTATTAGTAATGATTTCACATCTAAATGTCAAGAAACCTAATAACCAGATAACAATAATCATATTTCATTCTATCCTATATTCTATTTATATTTTTTTTATGCGATCGATTTATGTGAATTATTGAAATATCACTGTGAATCATTATATTCTTTTATTCTAATTTATGATTTTTGTAAAGCGCCGTTGAGCTAATAATATCATGTAAATAACACATAAACACAAATAATAATAATGATTTCTTGATATTTGTTGGATTTGGATCTTAAAGGAGTTTCTAAACTTCATTTTAAAGGATGTAAAATAACTGTTATCCCTCCCTCGATGCACAGAAAACACAAAAGGTCTAGTGAAGACGAAACTAGTTTTCATCAAACAAATATTGTGTTTTCTGTGCGTCGAAGGAGCTAGGGATAACAGTCATTTGACATCCTCTAAAATGAAATAATAATGATTGTCTTATAACTTGTTATATTATTTATATCTTTTTTCAGATACATATACACTATCGCTTGTTATTTATGTGGTGTATTTATGTTCGCTACTATTGTTGGTAATGCYGGGAACATCATCGTCAACAGCAATGCTGGTAGAATGGAATTTGAACGACAAAGGGTGAGGATACTCACCTACAGAACATTCTCATTATACATTATCCACTTAATATCATATAGATCGATCACATGACACATCATCCATCATACTGACGTCATGTAATATGACGTCATAGTGATAATTTGGTATGAAAGAATGAAAGCTCCTTCCCCCTCCCCCAATGAAAATCCTGGATACGAAGCCCCTGGAATGCACCAATGATTTTGCGAAAGTCGACCTCATGCGAGCTGCTAGTTCAGCGTGAGGCATTGCCGAGTGCACCGAAACTGGATTGAGTACGATAGCTATTTTCTTTTGAGCAATAGAGAATCTTATTTTAAGAATGGATAACATGTTGTGAAATATAGTAGCCATCTTTCCTTTTCTCTAATGATGTGACTGGATTACTGATATAACTGAATTTGATTTTGAAAATAGTATATATATTTTATTCCATTGCATACATTGGATTACTGTTTAACTGAGTTTATACTTTATAAACCTTTGAGCTGTTTTTCTTTAGGTAATTTCTTCTATTCAACGCTCGCGGCATTCTTTAATTTCCCGCCATTTTGCTTTTGAAAGTGACTGCTTTTATTACTGACATAATAAAAAAAAAAAATGGCAGGAAATTCGAGAAGTCCAGCGTTAAAGAAAAAAGTGGATATAAAGAAAACCAAACTGACGTCTTGCAAATATCAAAATTGTTGCTCCACAGGAAAGCACAAAAACCTACATGCAGAAGAACAAAGTCCCGAAAGATTTACAGCGTCGCGTTTTGATGTGGTACGACTATACATGGAACCGGTAAAAATATAGTTGTTATTATAATTTCATTTCTTTTATTATGTTTAAGAAAGCCTTAAGCCTTGTCCACACTTTACCAGGAATTTATGAAAGTTCTCTCCTAAWCTTGAGCCCAGAATCTTTTCGGCTATTGGTGATGTTTTCCGCTGGGCAGCAAAACTGCAGGCTCAATATGGCAAAACCGCAAACTGCCGAAAACGGAGGCTCATTGGGTACAAATGACTTGTATTTCTAGCGTGATCGAGGAGTCACGGTTATCCAGTGGTCCGTGTTCGAGTACATGATCGACYACGACCACAAATAGATTTAATAAGAGGTTTTGATTGTTCAAATGACTTAGGATATAGTTGCCATGGTACCATGTCATAATCTACATTTGTATGCCATTTACCCAAAATATTCTTACATTATAGTTTGTTTGGGTTTGTTTGGGTGTGTGCTTTTTTCTATTTATTAACAGACATTCGAGAAAAAAAGGAGATTTGCGGTTATTCAGACTTTCTACTTTCGTTTCTGAGCAACACGAGTGAGCGGAACTTGACATTAATATTCTTACAGCCAGAGGCAATTCAAACGTCAAGTTAAGTCAAACAAGTTATGTTTGTTTGGGTGGTGAGCGCTAGTTAATTTACCAAACGTGAAATGGGAATTACAATGCAGTAGTAATTAATTTTGTTTAAATTTCTTGCAGTGGACGAATTGGCAACAGTAGCTACGACCTAAATACACTGACCCTTCTTCCAGACAAACTCAAAACAGAAATCGCCCTCCATGTCAACTTAGAAACTCTGAGTAAAGTAACATTTTTACAAAAGTGCCAGCCAGAATTCCTTCATGATCTTGTTTTAAAAATGAAATTACGAATATTCACACCCGGGGATTATATCTGTCGCCATGGCGAAGTAGCACGGGAAATGTACGTCATCATCAATGGGAAAATAGAGGTTGTTGGGTAAGTAMAATTTTACCCAAAGGAGGGTGGGAAAGGAACTTTTGTACCAAGTTTGATTAACGTCTCATAATTTTCACAGCGATAGTGGACAGGTATTGAAAGTCTTATCTGGAGGAGATTTCTTTGGAGAGATTGGCATTCTTAGTTTAAGTGAAGGCCAAAACAAGTAAGGATCGTCTTAATAGTGACATAGTATTGTCAGTAAAGCAATAAAATGATTATATAATATACAAAAGTACACAATGAACTGCCTTAAAATGCTCTTTTTGGCGATAATAGTGAAGACTTTTCAACAATCGCGCCATTTGGTTTATTGCCATATATGGTATAGATTCAGTACAGAAAGCCAAAAACAAATGTCACAGGGATCCCGCACGATTTTATATCTAACATATGACGTATGCTTCACCAGACGAACCGCTGACATTCGTACTGTGGGATATGTGGAATGCTTTGTGCTGTCAAAAGAAGACGTACTGAGTGCAACACGTGACTTCCCTGAAGCGCAGGTCAGTCTGATTGACATGTTTATTTGATTTATGGCGTTTACTTTATCATTAGATTGACACTTGATTTAGCATGGATGTATCTTTAAAAAAAAGAGGAAGGAAAAAAATACTGTGCTTAGTTTAGTTAGGGCAGGAAAAACACAGTAAAATAACAATTCTTGGTGTGCACGTTACGTAGTAGCCGCCATGTTAGATGGAAATACCAAAGTTGTTCCTCTTTCGTTTTTCTGGTTGATTCATCCAACATGGCGGCGATAGCTTTGTTCTTAATATTTCTCTAGTTGCCCAGCATGCAAGAATTGTAAAAAACAAACTCACTGAATCACACGTTTCAATTTCAGGCTGTTCTGGCCGAATATGGCCGCCGGCGTCTGGAAGGACAAACAACATGTAAAGACCCTCGTTTAGTTGACATGGAAGACTGTAAACCAGTGAACTCTATACCATCTTTACCGAGTGTCAAYGGATCAATACCCCAGCTATCTAGCGAATCTCTTAAACCAACATTTCAACTCTCGAAATCAATACGGACGTCACGGGCCGGTTTACTCGACCCAATCGATACTCGTCCGTCAAATCTCCCAGAAAACATTATAGACAAAAATATTGAAAAAGGCTCAATTCCTAGTATCACGAATACCGAAGACTATGATGACGTCATTATGAAAATGATGACGTCATCGTGTCAAGAGGTCGTCAGTTACGTAAGGGAGCTGTGGAAACGGAAAGAAGAGTTGAAAAAGAAAGAGAYTGATGTTAAGTTAGAGGCTTTAAAAGAAGAGTTAACAGTTAGATGTGAACGTATTGATCAGATGCAGCAGTTAATTTCAGCTCAGGTAAACTAGGGTATATTTTCATTATTTTGACATTTTTACACACGTGCGCTACCCTGCGAGCAGAGGAATTTTTTTGCTCGCAAGGTTAACATGCGCGAGTGCATTAAAAATGCACGGTCAACAGTGTTAGGGGACTAGCAACTGCCCGATTCCATAAATACATCAAATCAGAAGTTTCTTTTGTTCTAACGCTATAGATGTTGATCGGGGGTGACAAAATAACTACATATCAAAGAAAATGTACACAAACAGACGAACAATCATTATATATACACGGTATATCTCAAAAATAGATAAAATTGAAAGAGAATTTTAATAGATCCAAATTTCTATTGTTTCTGAACATATATTCCCACGTGATGTCATTATACGATAAAGTAATTCTTGCATGACAGCCTTTCATGATGCTCATGTACAAGTAACTTACAGCTCTTATTGTTGTCTTCACAGGAGGCCGAACTTCAAGCGTGGAGGGAAGTAGTACATGAATTAGAAGACAAACGAATGGAAGACACGAGGAGAATAGAAGCCCTWRTACAAGATAACCAGGTAACRAAACGATCMACAATCTAAAASTATCATTGCCGTGCAGCATATCCTGTGCGCAAGATACTGGAAATCTAACAATGAGCTCTTAWAATATTTCCCTTCTAGACATTGAACGCTGAACTTCAAAGATGCAGTTGTGGTGGTCAGMGGCGTGGAAGGACTGGGTTACAGCTTGATACAAACGACACGTTATGTTAAGGTTGACAAACGCCGCACTGAAACTTTGGATAAATTACCCTTAAAAGGCTTCCTGAGATGAGATATGAGATATTCTATCTGAGAGGATGAAAACGGATGGGAGAAGAGGGGGGAGGAGGGGAGAGGAGGGGAGAGGAGGGGAGGAGGGCTTAATGTCTTGATACAAGCATGCTATAACATTGCAGTGCGCGTTTCAAGTATTTTTAATAAATGTTCAATGCGCTGCAATTAGACGATCGTGTGAATATTCATTTTAATATTTATATAAAATAAATGCACATTGCACATTATGAAAAATACGCGCACTGTAATGTCGAAAGCTTGTCACAGCTATTAACAGRATTTAGAAATTACTTTGTTCCTGGAGTGCACATGGCATAAACATCGAGTAAACGTTCTGSACACAAATATGTTCAAAATTTTGTTTTTGTTTTACGCAGTTGGAATGAGATCCCATGTGCTTAAAGTATATTAATCTATGAATTTCATTGACAAAAATGAATGTACATATGTCAATGATTACACCAAAAATTACATGGTTTTATTGAAGATCTGTACGATCGTATCTTTGGAAAGCCAATATATTAGAAAGACTAGAAAAGAAAAAAATACTTTGCGTTGACGATCTTGGATATTGTAAATGAATAAAGAACAAAAAGTATGTTGATATTTAACAGAGTAAATCAAAATGAATATATTTAATGTATTATAACAAAATAAAAGTTTCAAAATCTTCAGTTCTTGCTTTCTTTGGCATCCCAGTATAGTTTGCCATCCAAGTCCGACCGGTCCCCATTCGTCTCGCACACGMAATGCATCAAGGGAATAAGGAAGTCAATGATGCGTTTGCGCGCTAGAGAAACGACTGGAAACGAATTTGATTCGAATCATTATTTTTGTAGCAATTTCCTTCAGCAGGTGCAAAAGTGATACAASATGAACGCAACTGGGAAGCCCAGTTAATTGTTGGTTTTCGGAAGAATGATATAACCCTTACTGAACGTTAAATCAGTTTGGCAAAAGATTGTTTTTTATATGACAAACTATACATTTTCTGTGTTTCAGTGATTCTTCATCTTTTCGTGTCTGTCTCGGTTGTTTTTGTAAAGACAGCGCAAATCAATCTGTTTTCAATCGAAAAGGCGCTCTCTCGAGCTGGACGGCAAGGGATATTGTTTTTTCGCTACCTGGATCGTCACAAGAGTATTCTTTGGTGTTTGTGTGTGTGTTTCTTTGTTTTGCTTAAAATTGTAAAGACTTTCATACGTTTGTCGCTGATTCTTGTTCTCTACGTGSATCCTATTCCATTATTCCCACTAAATATAACTCACTTGTATTACAATTTCACTTTTATTTTATAATTCAGAATCCTTTTCGTTTCTACACGTTATGAATATGTTCTTTGTGGTAAATACCTTTAGTATCGCGACGTAAGGTTACTTTTTTATCACAACCGTATTATCAATAAACGGTTTCCTTCGATAATTYAAAGTAAATAAAGTCCAAAAAGACAAAGTGCTGAATTCAGGAGATTCATATTAAAAGTTCTATACGTGCTATATGTCCGATATTCTTTTGCTAAAACTATTGTAAAAACCAGTGTTTGCATTACAATATCTATTTATATTGGTCTCTGAGACGCCAGAGACGTATTTTTATCAACAATTATTTGATTTTCTATTCAGACCAGTAGAAAAGCAGTTGATTTTGAATATTTACAAGTGATTTCCGTTAGGTCTGAACAGATTGGGTTTATTTATCGTGAACATATTCCTGAATTTTTCAATGTTCCCCACTTTCAAACCTTAAATAATCAGTTGACCAATCTGCGTTATCGATTGATCAATCATTCGATCAATCCATCATTCAATAAATGAATCATTTAATCAATCAATCGATCA